TTTGGTGTATTTTATGTCGTGTTGGACTTGGAGTCAGGAAGATGTGAATTTAAATTCCACTTTAGACACTAAGCTAAGTGATCCTGGGTAAAGTCACCCTAGCTGAGTCTCTATGAACTCATGTGTGAAAGGGTAATAATAATAGCACCTATATCCCAGAGGTGGTCATTTGTAAAAACAAAACTTTAATTTGATGTAATTAAAACTACCCATTTATCTTTTGTGCTCTTATTTTTTATTTGATTATGAATTCTTCCCTCTCCCTAGATCTAAAAAGTATTTTCTTTTTTACTCTTTAATTTCTTTATGACACAGACTTTTATATTTAAATCATACCTCTTTTTGTAGCTTATCTTATTACGTGTTGTGAGGTTTTAGACTAAACCTAATTTCTACCAGATTGCTATCCAGTTTTCATAGCAGTTTTTGCCAAATAGTGAGCCCTTACCTTAGGAAGCTGTTTTCTTTGGGTTTATGGAATACCAGACTACTAGGTTCATTTACTTCTGTGTGTTCACAAAAGTTGTTGTGAGGACCAAATGAGGTAATATGTAAAGCGTTTTACAAGCTTAAAGCTCTATGAAAATGCTATTAAAGATAATAATGATAATAATAATACTATTTTTGTCTTTTCATTGCCAGTCCCAATCATAGCCTCCTTGCACATAAAAGATACTTAATAAATTTATTTATTAATAAATAATAAATCTCCTCTTTGAAATTCTGCATTTGTTGTAAGGACTCAGGGACCAGCTTTTTTTTTTCACCTTGCTTAATTTATTTTTATTTTCCCAAAAGGGAGTTCCTGAGAATCTAGATGCAGAAGATTAGGCCATTATCTATCTTGAATTTCTTTCATTCTTATTTCTTTCTATCTGATTTAGTTAGTTCCTACCAAGCTTCCCGCAAGATGCTTTCCTGTGTTATTAAATATCTTACAATTGAAGAGTGTCACTTCTCATAAACCAGCTATGGAATTCTTCTGGGTCCCTAGGGCCTTTCAATTTAGTTGGCTCAGCTGGCATAGTTGATACTGTTCAGGACTATAGAGTTAGAGGTTGAATGAAATGGTCTATGGGCAGCCCGTAACTATTTCCCAGTTGTTTATGGGGGCAGTGAGCCTAAGTGTTTCACCAGATATTCACAGTTATCCCCACTTGCATGTGTAAGTGAAAGGGCTGGGATTGTTAACTTCTCCAGATACTGAGAATTATCACAGTTGCCTTTCTTGGCTACTTTGGGCACTCATCTTAAAAAAAAAATTATTGATGACTTTTGTTCGTACATTTCTGGATATATTCCACCATCTATGCCCCTCATCCTTGCCCTGCCCCACTCAAACCATCTTTAGTAACAAAGGAAAAGCCAGTTATGCAAAAACAGCTGGTGAGAGGCAGTGTGGCCTCATGGAAAGAGAGTTGAATTCTGAGTCAGAAAGACCAGGGCCCAAGTCTTATCTCTGACATATATTGGGGATATGATCTTGCAAGTCATTTGACTTTCTAGTGCCTCAGGCAACTTTTTTAGTAAGAGAACAAGTGCCAACCTGTGTTAGTAAAGGGAGTTTCTTTATTCCCAAAGCAGCAAAATCAAATCCTCCCCAAAAATGGGAAGAAAAATAAAACTAGCAGTGATCTTGTTATTTGGTCGTTTCAGTTGTGTCTGACTGTTCATGACTGCATTTGGTGTTTTCTTGGCAAGGATACTGGAGTGGTTTGCCATTTCCTTCTCTAGCTCATTTTACAGATGAGGAAAATGAGGCAAAGTTAAGGGTCACACAGCTAGTAAATATCTGAGGCTAGATTTAAACTTAGGAAGATAAGTTTTTCTGATTTTAGGCCCAGTAATCTATCCACTGCTCTACTTAATTGTCCAAGTAGTGACCTTACCTGATTATAATGGCAACATTCTTCCCTAGTAGTCTTCCCTGTTGTTGTTTGTCTTTCATTTTGGAAGAGCCAAAGACGTGGGGAGAGTGATGAGAGTTATGTCTTGACTTGCCTATGATTGGATTTCCCCAAGGCAAAGTGGTAAAAGCAACTAGTTCTTAAATCAGAAATTCAAATCCCAAATCACTTAACACTTTCCCCTACATCAGTTTCCTCATTTGCAAAATAAGAGGGTGAAATTAGAGGGCTTTTGAGATTCTCTTCAGCTCTATATCTATGCTCCTGTGATGTCGCTGTTGAAAGGAGGGAGCTCTTTTTTTTTTTTACCATCATTTAGATTGGTTATTACTCCAAGTATGACTTTATTTTAGTGTTCTTTGCATTTATATTATCGTAGTTATTGCTATGTCATGTTGAATGATGAGGACCTTGCCTCCTACTTTATTACTAAAATTGAAGCCATTCAGTGTGAAATCCCTCATTTTTCTTCTTCATCCCCAAATCCCTTGATATCCTCTCAACGTATCTTCTTTTCCTAGTCTCTGAGATGGCCTTCCCTTCCCCTCCCCCCAAGAGTAAATCTGTCTACGTGAGTTCTTGGTCCTGTCGCCTTCTGTCTTCTCTAACAGATTGTAACCTCACTCCATATCAATTTTTTCCTTCCCTACTGTTTAAAAAAAAAGCCCAAGTATCCTTAATCCTAAGAAAAACACAAAACAAAAACACAGAAAGCAAACAAACAAAAATCTTTCATTTCCTTCTCATCGTTACTCTTATTTATCTCTCCTACTTTGCTTAGCCAAACTTCTAGAGAAAATTGTCTATATTTTCTATGCCTCTACTTCCTCTTCTTTCATTCACTTTTCATCCCTTAGAATACCTCAATACTCGCTTGAAACTGTTCTCTTCAAAGTTTCCTGTGGTATCTTAATTGCTAAATCTGTCCTCATCTTTCTCAACCTATCTGCTGCATGTCACACTGTTAACTGCTCTCTCTTCCTGGATAGTCTCTCTTATCTGGGTTTTTGGGGCACAACTCCTCTTATTTCCCCTACTGTTTGTCTAACCACTCCTCAGTCTGCTTTGCTTGTTGGAAATCACTATCATGTCTCCCCCTTTCCAACTCTCTGTCTTTCCGGCTTTTCTCTCCCCCTCCCTCCCTCCTCCCTCCTCCCTTCTCCCTTCCTCCCTTCTCCCTTCTCCCTTCTCCCTTCTCCCTTCTCCCTTCTCCCTTCTCCCTTCTCCCTTCTCCCTTCTCCCTTCTCCCTTCTCCCTTCTCTCTTCTCTCTCTCTCTCTCTCTCTCTCTCTCTCTCTCTCTCTCTCTCTTTCTCTCTCTCTCCTCTCTCTCTCTCTCTCTCTCTCTCTCTCTCTCTCTCTCTCTCTCTCTCTCTCTCTCTCCTTCCTTCCCTCTCTCCCCTCTGTCTCTGTGTCTCTGTCTCCGTCTATCTCCTCATCATTTCCCATGGCTTTAAATCATCATCTCTGTCAGTGACTCCCAAAATACAATGTTATCTTTCCCCCCAAATCTAACCCTTTCCCATACTTTCTTATTTCTGTCGAAGGCACCACTCTCCTTCTAGTCTGTAGGTTTATAACCTTGGTATTATCCCTAATTCCCCATTCTTCCTTACCCCCTCTAGCCAATCATTTGCCAGATCTTGCTATTTCTGCCTCACATCTTTCACATTCAGTACCTTCTCTTTCCTCCTAAAGCTACCATTTTGGTCCAGGCTCTCTGCACCTGTCACCTAGATTCTTGCAACAGCCTCCTAATTGGTCTCTCTGCCTTAAGTTTCTTGCCATTTTAGCCGATCCTGGCTACTGCTACAGAAGTGATTTACCTTAAGCACAGTATGGACCAGATCATTCGCTTATTTAATAAACTGCAGTGGCTTTCTATTGACTCTAGAATCAAATATATACTCTGCTTGGCTTTTAAAGCCCTCCCAGATTTGCCCCAGCCTATCTTTCAAGCCTAACTGTACATTACTACTCGTTCTTGAGGCACAATGGATGGAATACTAGGCCTGAAATCAGAAAGACCTGAGTTCAAATCTGGCCTCAGATACTTAGTAGTTGTATGACCCTGGGCAAGTCATTTAACCTTTGTTCACCTCCAGTTTCCTCAAATGTAAAATGGGGATAATAATAGCATCTATCTTGCAGAATTGTCATATCAAATGATAATATTTGTAAAAAAGTATTTAGCGCAGTTCTTGGAACATATTAGGGAATATATATGTATACATATGCTTATTATATGTGCTTATTACCTATATGCTTATTCCTTTCTGCTTTCTGCTATTCAGTCAATCTGACCTTCTCTCTATTCCTCACTCATGGTACTCCATTGGATTTTGTTGTGCCTTTCCATTGACTGTCTGCCATGCTTAGAACATACCCTCTCTTCACTTCCACCTAAAAGAGTCCCTCTCTTAATTTAATATGCAGTTCAAGGACCATCATCTAAGTGAAACTTGTTCTGATCCCCTCAACTATTTCTGTTTCCCTCTCAAACTATATTGGAAAAAAGACATATACTCTGAGCTCACTCTCCCAATTGCTACTCAAACTAGCAGGTTGGGTCCCCAGACCAAGGCTGCTTCTCCCCTCAAGGTTTTAGAGGTAATCCTGAAGTGTTGGGGTATTTCTCTAATATTGTTGCTCATGGGCCATCATTCAGTGTATTCTCTCAAATACTATCTCTTAGTAACCATTTCCTCAATATTATCTATCATGTGATCGCTGCTCCAATATAATTTTTACCAGTTGATCTCTGACTAATATCAATTATCCAATTAACATTAATTAACTTTTACAAAGTGATATTTACTGGGCAGCTAGGTGGCACAGTGGGTAGAGTTCTGGGCCTAGAGTCAGGAAGACTCATCTTCCTGAGATCAAATCTGATATAATTATACTTATCAGAAGTCCAGGGATAGGAAGGGTCCTGAATTTGGGATTGACTATAACGTTGTTATCAGTGTGATGGTTTCCCTCTTCTTGCTTCAGATGTCTTAGGCTATCCATGGAGTTGTCAGCATTTTTTTTTGTGCTTTGAAAAATTCCTAAATCAATGATACTAAAAATAATCCTCTTTTGTTCTACAGGATTTGAACATAATTTTTGGCATAGAAAAATTGTGACTGCTTAGAGGCTTCTTTGATCTTCATTGGACACCAATACCTGGACATCATGATCTCCCATTTCATCATTTTTCTGAGGTGAGAGGGCCTTTTAAAAAGGGTCAGAGTTTTTTTTTTTTAATGTGTTAGTTTTATTGACTCCCTCCCTTCTTGTGGTCTAATGCTTTTATATACTATAAAGTATATAATAGACCTCTTAATTGATTGGATAACTAGGGTTTTGATTCAAGGGTAGGAAAGTAGAGCTTAGAGCTACTGTCAAATTTGACCTATAAAGCTTGAATATCAGTAGGTAGTTGTAGATGTAAGCTACCATAAAGGCAACTCCATCAGGGAGACTACAAAAATGGCCACCATGAGAGTAGGGGTCTGGAGTCTTCTGTACAAAGTTTTACAAGATGTCCTACAACTTAAATTTATGCCACTGGGATCTATTAACCTCCTGTAATAACTCACATGCCCTCTCTTTGAAAGGAGACCAATCCCTAGTGCCATGCTATTCCAGAGTAAGAGTTTGTTGATCAGGGGTTAGTTATTGGGTTATGGTGGGGTGGGGTAGAAGGAGTAGGAAGTAGGCAATGAAGAGTAAGATGTAGATTTGCCAGCCTGTGGAACAGGATCAGAGAGGTCCTAATTGTTACTGATTTTGTAATCCTGCAGGAGCAATAATGCAGTAGGTGGCATAGTAGATAGAGTACCAGGCTTGGAGCTAGGAAGACCCCATTTCGAATCCTGATTACAGATACTTGCTAGCTGTGTAACTAAGCATTTAACCTCTTTCAACCTTTGTTTCCTCTTCTGTAAAATGAGGATAAGAATAGTATCTGCTTCTCAGAGTTGTTGTGAGGCTAAAATGGATGATATATATAAAGTGTTTTGTAAACTTTAAAATTATATGCATAATATATTCACACATTAGCTATTATTGTTGTATTTATATGACTTGGGATACTTAGTAGGGAACCAATGTCAACGAAGAATTCTACAACAAAATCTTGAGAAAGCTAGTTATTACAAAGAAATTGATTAATTTCTGAGATTTCGGGTAAAAATCTCTGAATGGTAAAATAATTGTTGTTCATCCTTCATTCTCCAAGAGGACCGACGACATCAGGAGGGTGATATCTTGACTTGCAAGTGGATGGGATTTAAGTGAGGCAGAGCTGTGCAGAGTCATCAGCCTCACTCTCTCCTCCAGAGTCATCAGAGTCCAGTGGCAAGACATAGGTCAAGGTGATTGGCAATAGCCCTAGATGCAGTGGGAGACCTTGGCCTTTTGTTAAAATAACAACAACTAACATTTCTATGGCACTAAACACGTGACAGACATTGTGCTAAGTGTTATACAATTAATCCTTGTGTGGATAAATAACTTTTCCTGTTTGAATACTTGTATAGGTAAACTTTCATGGTGATCCTGGACAAGTTATTTATCTTCTTAGGTCACCCCACCCCCACCTCCCAATCTGTAAGACCATCTATTTCAGAGCAGATGCAGACCTACATTTGTAGGGGGAGCTTGCCTACTCTGAGTTCCTAAACCAACGAGAGAGAGAGAGAGAGAGAGAGAGAGAGAGAGAGAGAGAGAGAGAGAGAGAGAGAGAGAGAGATCACTCTGTACACCTTCCACCTATGGAAGTGGCAATGCAACATTTCAAGATTTGCCTGAGGCTCCCAGAGGGTAATCGGGAATAACAACAATCACATGGCTGCAGCTCTTTTGCAAGGACTTTTTTCACATAGGCCCTGTGACTTGGGTAGTGTAAGTATCACTCCCATAAATAGAAAAGGGAGGGAAAGGAGAAAACTGCTCAGCTGCATCTGCTAAGGCAGATACCATAGAGAATAGGAGGTGGAGCATATGAAGAATGTTAGCAGGGAAGCCCAGGAATTTACCAGAGACAGTGGCCAAGAGGGTCAACAACCAGACTCACAGATGTCTATACAGACTGAACTAGAGATCCTAACTCAAGGTAAATCTGATTGCATAGATAGCGGTGAAACTCCTGTTTAGGGTATGGGAATGGAAAGACATGTGCTATTTTAAAAGAAAGAAATAAGATGAAAGATTAGCACTGCATATCAATAAGAAATGTTCATGAAAGTCCATGTGAGTCTTATGAATAAGTGAAGTCAAGTCAATGAGCATTTATTAGGCACTTGCTATGTCCCAGGTACTGTGCCAAGTATTAGGGATGTGAAGAGGCAAAAATGCAGTCATGATCTCAAGGAGCCCATGGTCTATTATGGGAGACAACTTTTGAATAATTATATACATACAACATATGTATAAGCTAAATTGTAGATAATTTCAGACGAGAAACATTAGCATTGATAGGACTGGGGAAGGCCTTTTGAAGAAGGTAGAATTTGAACTGAGAATTGAAGGAAGCCAGGAAATCCAGGAGGTAGAGATGAGGAAGGGGAGAATTCTAGTCATGGGAGATAGCCAATGAAAAGACATGAACTCTGTATATGGAATGTAGTGTCCCAGGAGCAGCAAGGTGGCCAGCATCATTCTATTGTAGAGTGTGTGGAAGAGAGTGAAATGAAGTGAAAGAAGACTAGAAAGGAAGGAGAGGGTCAGGTGTGAAGGGCTTCAAAAACCAAACAGGATTTTCTATTTGATCTTGGAGGTAAAAGGGAGCCATTGGAACTCATTGTGTAGGGAGGTAATATGATCAAGACCTTCACTTTAAGGTCACATTAGAAGCTGAGTCAGGGATGGTCCAAGGTCAGACTGCAGTGATTTGATATTGAGATACTCATAATAAGAAAACCAATAATAAACCAATAATAAAACAGCAACAAATGATACATCTATCAAGTTAAAGATTGCAAAATCATTTTACACTTGGAGTTCCACAATAACCCTGTGTACTAGGTATTAAAGGTTTTATTAACACCTATTTTGTAAATGGGGAAACTGGGTCTAGAGAAATCAAGTGATTCACCCATGATTGAAAAACTACAAGTGTCAGAGTTAGGATTTGAACCCAGGCCTTCCAGACTCCCAATCCAACTTCCTCTTAATAAATTAAAAAAAACTAAACTAAATGTAAAAATAAGATAATTATGTTGTGTTAAAATCCAGTATAATCTGAAGAGCAGTTACACTGTGTTTTATTTCCTTTAAATATGGTTTTGAAATATTCTGGTCCTTTTAAGAGTTAGTGGTATCTGGCAGAGAAAAATAACTTAAGGGAACTCACAGCAGTTACTAAGGAGATGAATTGTATGGAAATTCAGCATTGATCAAAAAGGAATTGGGAGGATCAATGCCAGTGGAGCTGAGACACTCCTACTCAAATAAAAAAGGCAGGTTAAGGCTTTCAAATGCTAGCTGCCAGGGAAACCCCTGACAGGAAAAGAAAAAAAAAACAACAATAATAACAAAAAGCATTTATGGGGATTCACATTCCTGATGGGAAGCCACATGGTGTGACCCTGATCTCTTTGTAGCTTTTGCCAAGCCATGTGGAAAAGAAAGCCAGTTTTTCTCTTCTGTATATAGACAGAGAGGAATTGAATAAATAGTTAGCCAGATTTCTCTGTGCTAGCAGTCTATGGCAACTCAAATACTCCATTACACCTTATAGCAGAAGAACTGAAACCAAATACTAGGAAGTATTGATGTTGAATTTAGGATAGAGGTTCGGGTACTCAGGTCTGAAGGAAGGCCAAGATGGATTAAGTAGGGATAGCTAACTTCTAACTTATTCTTGTGGGTGATGTAATAGTACTCCAAAAAATACTTTGCAAGAGGAGAAATGCCTCATTTATCTAGAGGCCACTGATTCAAGAGCTTCCACTATCCAGAACACAGCTAAGATTCAGAAAGCAAGTTTTTTTCTTTAGAGTTTCTCAGCAGCCAAAGTGGATAACAGTAATTATAATGTATAGTTATGTAGTACTATAGTGTTTTTCAGCGTGCTATCATATACCTTATCTCATCTGATTCTTACAACAACCCTGTGAGACAGGCAGGATGTTTTATAGATGAGAACGCTGAGTGAGAAGAAACTTGGGCTTGCATTAGGCCACATGATTTGTCACGAGGAGAGCCAGAACTAAGATTCCTGTCTTCTGACACTCATTCTTTTTGCTACATACAATTAAGCTGCTTTTCAAGTAAAACATTAAAGCTCATGTACTTTACTCATAGACAACCTCCCAGGTCCTGTTTCAGAGCCCATTTACTTGCAGTTTAGATAATGTACTAATAATATAGGTTATCTCGTTTTTTTAAATCCACTGTAGATTAGAAGGGGAGGAGGTGGGGGGGATTCTAGAGTTAGGCACCCTGATTTGAGCCAAAATTGCTTATAGATGGTATAGCAATGAAGGAGGAGACAGTTTATCAAAATCAGACACAATTCATGACATGTGGCAGCCTAGGACCATTTAATTTAAGGGAATTTAACTCTATAAACTCCAAGAAGTCATTATATTGTAGCAGGATATGGTAATTGTTGGTCATAATGATAACCCTGAGTTATCAAGGAAAGATGAAAATGTGGTAAGTATTTAACAAAGAAGGGATATGCATAATTCATTTTAGAACAAACTCCATCAAAATATGGTTTAAAGGTTAAAGAGATGAGTTTTGGTATTTGGAAAATGTATTTATGTAAGGCAGTCAGTCAATAAGTATTTATTAAATGTGCCATGCACTGTGCTAAGTGCTGTGGATACAAAGATAAGAAAAAGACAGTCCCTGCTTATAAGGAACTCACAGTGTAATGGAAGAGTCAAAATGCAAACAGCTGTGTGTAAATAAGATTTATACTAGATAAAATGGAGACACTCAACAGAAGAAAGGCCCTAAAATTTAGAGGGATCAGGAAAAGTTTCTTGCAGAGACAATTTTAAGTATGGGAGACTACCAGTGAAAGTGCCCAGAGTTGGCAGACAGTGTAATCTTATTCAAGGAACAGCCGTGGTCTGAGAAGTAGGTGGAGAACTAGGAGAGAGGAGCATTAACAAAAATCTAGAGAAAAGAGATGATAAAAAAAAAGGTGATCAACAGTGTCAAAGGTTGCAGAGATGTCAAGAAGGATGAGGACTGAGGAAAGACT